TTCAAAAAAAGACACAAAAAAGACTTCCGTGCTATCAGACACTATAAAGTCATTAAAATCCTGACCCTTCACAGCTCAACAAGAGCAAAGAACGAAAACAAGGCCTTCTGTTTTTCATTCCTATTTTTTTTAACATAGGCTGTTCTCTTCAGAAATCAAGAGACTTCCTAAGTGTTACTGATGACAGAAACAACTAAGTAATTGAGAAAATATCAAACTAAAATTTAGATTTTGATTTCTCACGGTGATCCCTCCTTACTTTTTGCCAGCGTACATATGAACATTTTTTTGTTCATATAGGGCTTCACATGCATCAAATTAAATTCAGTACTTGAAACTGGCTTTGCTAATGAACTAAATGTATTTGCAGCAAAAGCGAGGAATAGGCTGTTTTAGAAAGTTGTTTGCAGGGTTAATGAAAGTAACATCATATAGGAAGATATCACAAGAGGAATGATAGAAAATCAGGGTGAAGAGGGAGAAGCAGAGAGAAGAAATAACAGTTGAAAGACAGGTGAGAGAACAAACCACAGATCATACAGAGACCTGGGAGAGGAGTTGAAGAAACCCAAGAATGGGCCACAGAGTCAATAGGTGTGAATCTGTAGCCCTACTAGACACGTATTTCTGCTCATCACATTAGGAACAGCTACTTCCACCAAAACAAAAGCTAGAATAGCCATAAATCATCTTCCTCTCCTCCAAACGCCAAGATTTTCAGAAAGCAGAGAGTTTTCCTCCCCACTGCTTACACCTCTCATTTGCCAACACCTCTCTGGATAGAATGATACTAGCTCCTAGCTAGTCTGAATTACATAGGCAGATCTTTGGACAGGAATTTTAGTCTCCACCACATCTCTACCAATAACCACAGGTATCTTACAATGGCACATATCAGACATTTTCAGAAGATGGTACCTGTATCACTACTAGTACACAAGTTATTCTGAAGCAGTACAGAAACACTGTCTTGAACAGCTGAACACCTCTGCTGCTGCCATTGCCATCAATGCCGATACGTAAGGAAATGAGATTTGAAAAGTCTGTCTTAAGTCTCATGTAACAAGCAGTACTGAGAGTGAACTAGTCACTCCATTATTTTCTTTGCAGCTAGAATCTTTTGTTCTTCCACTCTGCTAATGCCAACACTGGATTTCTCCTCCATTGACTACAGCAAAAAAATCCAATACACCTATAAAATCTGCTACTGGTTTTCAGTTTATCTCTATGCTGTCCTTCCATTTCTTTCTTATGAAGCTACAGAGATCTTTTCCCCCGTATAATCCCTATGACTTGTGAAGAAGGCTCTTTCCAGTCCCCTAAAACAAGCCACCAAACCACTCACGCATCAGAGCTAAGTGAAGATGTTAATTTTCACCCTCAAATACCAAAAGACTTGGAAGCCTTTTGGCTTCTGAATATAATGCTTTTCCCCACCATAATGGCACAGCTACAGCAAGCAAAGGTGCTAACTGGCTTGATTGTCTTCCCTTATTAAGGGAAGGATACTGCTGACAAAAGGCTTTTGGTAAAGATTTATTTCCTCTGGAATGCCCCAACCATCAAAACCAGCCCCCACCTGCTCATCTACCAGGCATACTGCAAAGTAATACAAATGGCTAATGTGGTAGAGTTTGGCAGGCACACCTAACAGCTGCTTAAGACAAGAAATTTGAAAGCAGTATGGATCACAAGGTTGGTGATCAAATGATGTATAGGAAGAAGGAAGATTTATTTTTGCTTTGGACAATTTTATATTTGCACTCTTGAGTAACTGTTCAGCTGTTATATTCGTATACACAGATCAAGAGGACTTAAAGCTTAGACACACTTTTTTGATATACCATGTGTTTGAACCATGAGGAAAACAAACACTGGTAGATTGTATAGTTGCTATTAAACACTGACAGTCATATAATAAAGATTTTTATAGCTTACCTAGGTTTCTAAGTACAATCCCAGAACACCAACTTTTTCAACAATGAGCACAGTTTAATCAGAATTCTTTGTATCAGCTTTGGTGATCACACCTTACTTAGCCAACCAAAGCAGAACATTTTCTTTTGTGCCCTTGGGCATGTATGAATTAAAAAAAAAAACAGATCCTTGTAAGATTAACAAAAATGTATTCCTTTTATCATCTCACAACCAAATTTTCCAACTGATATGCAGCAAAATCCCCCATCCAAGTAGCTTCTAATGATGTAGACTCTCTTTCTAAGCACTTGACCAAATACTTAAATCACCCTGTCCCAGAACAATAAAATATAGCTCTTACATAAGGCTTTTCAGCACCGATCTTCAAACACTTCACAAAGTTGCGATTATCCATTACTGCTAACCCCAGAGACACCATACCCCACTCTGGTTTACCCAACAGTTTAATGATGGAGCTAAAAATAGAATCCATGCTTCCTCATCCCCAAGTGAGTACTACTTCTACCATGCCATAGTGCCTGATATTCCATTGAGAATAACCCAAGTCCAAACTGACATTCAACAGTCATTTCTACTTAGATAAAGAAAACCTAAACCCCTCTATACTGTCATAAAACAGTCAACTACCACAGCTCATGTGCTGTGTTTCAAGAAATCCAAAGAGGTCTTCAGAGCACTTATTGAGGGTGTGCCTGTACTCTACAGCAGCAGGACACGTCTCAGACTAATTAGCTCATGTGGAGCTTCCTCACTATATTGCTTCTGAGCAAGCTCATTTATCTTCATATTACATTATGCAGTGTAGATACACCCTCAGACAAATCAATTTCTCTAGGTAAGGGATACACGCTTGACGAGGCAAAAGCAGTTTAAGAGACATTATTATGAACAAATGCTCTCACAGTACAATCACTTATATTTCCAGTTGACTCCCGGGTTTAAATTCTTCATGTATCAGAACGGATTTAAATTAAAACGGGAAAAAATGCATTGTTCTGCTTGTGTCAGAAAAGAGAAATATATCAATAACAGCTTAGGTGAAACTTGGCAAGGAGGAATGCGAGAGGGTCTTCTCCCCTAGCATGAGGGATATGATTTGCTGTTCTTCAGAAGAAAAATTAACAACAGTCTGCACAATAAAGAAGCATCAAATTCCAAAAAAATGTTTGCATTGGAAACTTGGTCAAGTTTAGCAATAAATTTGCCCCACACTTTGTCTACACTGAGCGTGTTTAAAGGGTGTTTCTCTTTTGCATACTTTCCTAGAGCCTGACTGAGAACTCTCAATTCCCAAGACCCAATTCTTGATTCACTCTGTCTCCGTTGTCAGCAACTATCTGTAAAAATCACTAACAAGGTATGCATTTTTACATTCCTCCAACACCAGTATGGTGCAGAAGAATTAAAAGGTTCAAGCTTACTTTGTCAGTGATTTATACAATTACTTACACAAGCCTCACATGATAGAAGGTTTCTGGTTTTCAGCTGGTATGAAATACACACACCCCTACCACCCCAGAAGAATACTGCCATAAAAAAAGTGAACTCTAATGGTCACGAAACTAAAGTACCTCTCACACTCCTGCACACAAATGCTATATGCTACTGCCTTCAACTAACCAATCACACCTTATTTTTTTCCAGAGGATCTTTTCCTTGTTCTAAGGATAGGACAGACAGTGCTAACACTGAACGAGCACTTACTCAATACTTCATTTCATCCTCGCTGTTCACTATGTGGCATCTTTGTATAGTTTACAGCACCTACATCTAGAATCCTAAGTAGATAACTTCTCATTTCTCTGTTGATCACTATTATGTACCCAAATTATTTCCTTATACCAATTACTCCACAGCACCTCCAATGGACAATTTTATGAATCTTGTTTTCAGGTAGCAAACTGGGAGACAGTGATGTGCATCAGGATTGCCTGTAATTAGAGATGCTTGACTTGAGATGCTTTGGGTCTCTCTTCAGAGGATAGAGCAATTAAACAGCACTTTGTCAGTACAAAGTACGACTTCAATCTATTTCAGTGCTATCATGTGTTTTCAAAGCTGACATTAATCGGTCCCAAGAGTCTGAACTCAGAAAATGAGAAGTACACAACTAATGGCCATATTTAAAAAATGTGGTTGAAGTGACTCACCCAACCTCACACAGGAGCTCCACGGCTGAATTAAGATTTGGCTCTAACCCTCCAGAAGAGCATTCCAACAGCCCTAGCTCTAAAACCAATCTCTTTTAGTGTTATTCTCTCCTTTCCTCACCTACTAGGTCTCATTCACCTTCAGCAGTTATGAAGTAGCAGATCTAAAGGGAACAACCTCATTAATTAGCACACCTGGATTAATTTCCTAAATGCTGTCTACCCAGTCTTCCTGAAAATAGCAAGTGTTTTGTGGATAAAGAAAGTATCTGAAATGGCATCAGCATATGCCATTTTAAGGCAGAAATATAATGTGACCTAACCGAGTTTGCACAAACAACTTCAATTCTGGCATTTCCTATCTTTTGAAAACTTTGCATTGCATCACTGTCAACTCCACATTCCCGGAATTTTCATTTCATGCAGTCTCAAACAACAATATAAGATTTAAATTAATGTTTCTGTCTCCATCATCTCACTTGCTACATTTGCAGCTTCAAGCCTGAGGAACTCCTACCATTGGGCCTCTTAATTCTAAACACCATCCAAACAATCCCTGCAAGGGCAGATCTTCAACACAAAGCTAACAGTCTATGAGATAACCAGTACACAGCATATGAACATTATACAGTTACGAATTACAGTGCAGCAACAAGTAGAAATCTCCGAACAATAATTTCTATCACCTCAGAAAACTAAGCTTCTTTCAGTTTGACCAATACCAGCAGATAACATATCACTATTTCCTTTGTTTGACACCAACACAATACCCAAGCTTTAATTCTAGAATTTTTTACAAAGCACAATAGCATCACACTGCAGTCAGTGTTTTGCCACATAAGTTCATCCTGAGTAAATATTTGTTTGAATTTCTGTTTAAAAAAAGCATTCAAAAGCAAAATGAAAACTCACCTCATTTCCACCAACAGCTTTGGTTAAAATTACTGCAGAAGACACAGGAGGTGGCATGCAGCCTACTGTCTGCAAGCTGAAAACAACAAAAACAAATGTTACATTCCTCACATGAGGCAAACACTATGCAACCTAAAACCTTAAAATACCAAATAGCTGAGTAGAAACAATCATCTTATCACCTGCGCAACCCAATCAGTTTGCATCACAGTTACAGCCCTGCACCAGCTGGCAGGGTTTCTATGCCATCTCTTACCAATCACCACAGTGAAGAGTCATGTCACCATTTAAAAACTCAAACACTTAACCTCTCTGTGACTCCATTTCCCCATCTGTAGTACTGTATCTACCATTCTCAGAGATCTACACATCTATCACTAAGATAACTGCGTCAAGTGTCCTGACATAGTAAAGTTTGTAGTGTGTTGCGAGATACCTGTAGCTATTTGGAGAAAACGAAAATAAGGATGTAAACTCCTATTTCCTTGAAAAAGCCATTCAGTGATAAAAACATTCACTGCTAAGTAGAAGAGTAAGAAGAACCATGCTCACTATTTCAAGTTCCCACTACACTGTTTTTCATCAATGCCTACCAAAAAAAAAACCCCAAAACCCCAAACCAAACAAAAAAACCCACAGTTAAGCTTTTTATTTCCTGAACACCAGAAGTCCATCAAATGTTTAATTTTTATGCACATCTTCACTTCCTGGTAAAAAATCACCTGACTTCCATTAATCAAAACATCAAAAGCTTTCTCCTACATTTTAGAAGTCTAAAATACACTATTATTATTATCTGTCATTTTTTCCATTTTTTGTGCAGCAAAATTATCAATATATATAGTAAATGTTGTTGCAAAGTAAGAAAAAAAGTGGTGAGCTGTCCTTTGTTTTCAAAGGCAGTCCACAAAAACTGGTTATTACAAAAATTAGTTGTATCAAATGTGTATTTAGAAACAACAAGAACATACCACAATAGATTACAATTAAATGTGGGGCTAAGTAAAATAGGGCTTCTGAAGAAAAAGTGTGTTGACTTAGAAGGAACAGTAAGGCATGGAATAAAATAGTCTGCGCAATCCCCAAAAGCCTGGAATCTACATATGTTTTCAAGTATTGGAACTTGAGACAGTATTCTAGTTCAGAACAATCAATTACTAGTGGTGAACTACTTCACGCTTGTAACTGTGTTAGTCCACCCCTGAGAAACGCAGTGTCAAAAAGCTGTAGCAAACAGAAGTATTAAATCCAAACAATAGGGAGCATATTACAGTGCAATTGATATGCTGCAAATATACAAAAAGCTTAAATAGAAGAAACAGGTAAATGACAATGACAGTATTCAGTTTGTCAGCTACAGACACTGTGGAAAAGGAAAGAGGCAACCAATGTAAGCATTATATAAATCCAATCACAAAGTGCCAAGCACCACCTTGGAAGTATATAGTACCTTTAGCTTACAGTGAAGTAAGCTATGGAAGCAGAGAGTTATCAGCACTTAGCAGGGTAAGCTCATATTGAAAAGAAAAGAAATACAGGAAAAAGAACTGGTGTGGGAAAGTTTGGAAATATATACAAAAATACACAGCAGACAAACACATGGCGATTCTGATGTCCATCCCCTACATCGGTCGTGATACTGTTATCTCTCTTCTATGTGGTCTCTTGGCAGCCAGCTCCTTGAACTTCTCACCTGCACTAATAAGGGGTGGATTAAGTTCAAAGTTATCCAAGAGGTATGAAATGTGTGCAGGGCCATTCATCTCAGCTGGCAGGTATTTTCCACACTATAAGCGAAAGGTTTAATAATACAATCTCTGTGAAGCCTCACAAATTTAAAATAATACATTTGGAATTAAAAAAAAAAATCACTATCAAGCTATGGTTTTAAATATTCTTCATATGAAAATATTAAATCTACAAAAAAATGGTACACACTAAATGGAAATACTTTTAATCAGGTGTGTTGAAACACGTACCTGCGAACTTTTTCCTTTGTGTCAATTTTGTATCAACTACACACAATACTACCAAGACACAAACAAATTCCTCTAAAGGCCAGCAGATTACTACAGATAACAACCAACAAACTGAAAGGTCCCACTTCTTCAGGCCATGCTGTAAACATTAACATCAGGGGTCCAAACATTTGCTGAAGAGCGATAAATAATACCTGTTCTGCTGATACATTACGGACAACCGAGTAGCAGGGTCCAAAGTCACATATTTTAGATTTGGAACTACCAAGGCCGTATCTTGTACCAGGTCTTTGCATCTTGTGCCTTACCAGCTGTGCTGTAAACACTATACACTAAGAGTGGCAGAAGAGGTGAACCTGTGCAAACATTAATAACCTGCTTCATGCTCCTTTTCAAAGGGATGCTGTCAATGCAAAACCTAGTCAGTTAAGAAAAATTAACTTAAAAGATGCTTGGGATGATGTCAGTTTCTCCTCTATTTTATATATTTCAAAATAATTGCAAAGCAACAAACCTCCTAATATCATCCCAGACAGAGGCAGGGGGGAAAACAAACAAACAAACAACTGTAGAAACACAGATGAAAAGCTGGTACCATCTGTACCTGCCTCTCAACACTTACAGCAAACCAGACCATTATAGAGGATGGGAAAATCTACCATTCATTCTGAAGCAAGACGGGAAATTAACTGTGGGCTTGACTGTGCCCTTTAGCCATAACTTTGTGTAGAGTGTAACCAAGAACTACAGTCCCCTGGGGAGCCACCCTGCCAAAGGGTGCTGCATGCCCTTGGGAGCACATGCCTATTTTTCCAGGCCTTTGTAAGGACTATCAGCTAGCTCCCACTACAAGCTGTGCTAAACATGTGTGATGAGGAAGTAACTTTGCCAAAGCCTGTCTTGCTCCTCACTGTTTTCATTAGGTTACTTCAGTGTTTCTAGGGAATAAAAACTACAGCTGTGGGGCATTAGGATGAACTTCTGGTTACACAGAGCGGCCAAGGCACAGGCAGTTCCTCACATTGGCTCCTCACCCTCCTTTCACATACCCTTATAGAGACATGCAAGTACCTGCTTTAAAACGTGTTATCGCAGAATCAGGGGAGAGCTCAGTATCTTCTGCACCTGCATAGCTCCCATCAGGCTCCCTTTGCAGTGGATGCCTTCAGAGCCACACAATGGCTGCTGCTCTAAGCATGTCCTGAACAGCAGTATTTATCAAGAAAGCACTCTTTCAAAAAAAACAACAAAAACCCCCAAACAAACAAAAAAACAAAACCACCTTCATTAAACTCCTCAATCTGACCATTCGTTGAATGAAGTCTCAATACAACAGAGTTACTGCACTAAAAGATAAAACACAGCCAAAACAGAAACAGTACTCAAGGAACAGGGGCTTGCAAGGCAGCTTGAAACATACAGAAGTAAACTAGCTCACTGGTAAAACTCAGACACACCTTCATGAAAAACGAGGCTCATTTAGGCTCCACGTTTAGGGACATACACGTAAAAGTGTTTGGTTTTTTTTTAAAAATACACACGTGGTTTTAGACACAGTTTCACAGGTGTGTGGGTATATACATACACATATACTTGTGCATCTAACAAATCATGTCTCCTCAACACCAAGAACCAAAGTGGCATAAGAGTCATAGGAAAGAAGGGATGAGAAGTGCTGCAAGGAGCAAAACCCACAAAAATCTCTTGCACCTTTCACTTCAGAAACTGAGACTCCCAAGGATTAGGTGGGAATTTTGGCTCACTGTGGAAAATCATATCTCTGTTCTAGCCGAGAAAAAACTTCCCAATGATTTTACTTTAAAGAATAACCTTTACTATGAATAGCCAAATGCAAACAGACATTGTATAGCGACCTTGTTATTTCTCTGATGTACTAATACTGTTAAGCTAAACAGTGCTAACTTTCAAATGACGTCATCTCAATTTCACCTTCTCAGTATCATCTGGACCACTTCACACTTGGTGGAACACCTGGAGAGCCTCTTAAAAACTGCCTTGTAAAAACATAAACATGAGCAGTTTTATCATTAAACTTTTAAGATAGGGAACTCTCACCAAGCAACGTTCCATCAAGCAGTAAGAAACAATGGGGACTTTTTAAGTAGTTTTCTAAAAGAATTGATTTTTGCACTCAAACATGCCAGTATAGCTGCATGGTGCTAGGTATTGACCTTTGATTCTGAAAAAAGCTTCTTATTTTTTTGGATTTTTCATAACATCTATCACTACCGCACCATCAACGCAGTTTTGGAAGCACACATTGGCAGAGCACACCAAAGATGTAAAACATATTGTTTTCATGGTAACTTAGCTTCTGCTTACCTCAAAGTTCTCCTCCTACAAAAACTTTACTGGGTTTTTTGGGTGGATTTTTTTTTTTCCATAAATTAGCTAGGAGCAGGTACTGAACCCCAGTGTGGACAAATGCAAGAGATGCTCAATACAGACTGTTTAAAAACAGAACAGAACACCAGTACGTAGCACACACGGTATTTATTCACCAGCTTATGTTTTTCCTTCAGCATTCCTTTTCTTTCCTCCCCATCCTCCTTGAGACCCAGCACAGCACTTCAGCTGTGTTTCGTGAAACAGAAAGCTAACCTGTTGCAAGCTCCCTACATGTGAAACTGACTGACCAGACTTTCTAAGAATGAGACCAGGCTCCTGAAAGGATAATCTTGTGCATGTTCTGTATTTTTGACAGCAAAATGCTGAAGCATAAAAACAACCAGCAAAATCTGTTCACAATACAAGTCAAAACACCCATTGCAGGATAAGCAGCCCTTTAAGAAGACAGCTACAAATATATTTAACTCCATTATGCTTAAACATACCCTTTTAAAAGCCATTCATTTATAGGTGTGATTGATAATAGCTGTAGAAAGAGCCATATTGCTGTTGGGAAGAACACAAGTGTAAAAATCTGGACAAAAAGGTGTAGTTTCACATGCATCAAAGCACTTGTCAGCTCCTGCAAAAGAAAAAGAAGAGAGGAAGTTGCAGTCATAACAGCTGAAGTAAGATCACGTTTGTGCTTTTAAAACTAGGATCATCTTTATAATACAAAGAGAGTGCATGTCAAAAAGGCACCTTTAGGGATCATCTGATCTCCTCTTTAATAATGAAGTATATCCAGAGAACATCAAAGCTCTGTCTGCTCCTGGGCATTTTTCCAAAAGAATTGTCCACCACTTCAATAACAGGGTAGCTCTCATAACAGTAGCTTTTCAGCAGGCAGCCTTAGCACTTTGTCACGGCTTCAAAACCTCTGTTAACTATGCTGACGGCCTGTTTACTTTATTGACTGCTGATATCAAGAGGAAGGGAAACTTGTAGTGTCCACATGATTTCACGTTTCTCTAGTCTAAAGAGAGCCACAAACTGTGATTCTCATTTATACCATGAAAAAGGGATGTTTACATTACGAAGAGTCATCATTTGTCGTGGGGTTTTTTAAGGAAAGACTAACAAACATAAAAAGCAAAGTAATCTGTAGCAGATTTTGGTTATTTATTGTATCAACAGATAGGAAATTTATAGAAAAATATTAGGCTGATGAAGAATAGCAAAAAAAGAATACCAAGACCATAACAAGCTAAGCCATAAAATTCAGAGAAATGAAGTGCAAAACACTGCTGGAGACTGAGGGGGGAAAAAAAAAAAAATTAATTTTAAATAGTGTAAGAGCACTCCAGAGAGGTGATCAAGTATCCTTATGCAATAAACTCTTCAGTTAGCTGTGTCTGCTTCTGTCTTTTCGGGCATTCCAAGGATCTTCTACACAGTTTTTGAGTACAAGGAAAAAGCCTTGTACATTTCAGCTCATGTCAACTCTCATAGATTGAGAAGAAAAATTCCCTTTCCTCTCTCTCAAAACAACTTGCACTCTTTTCAAGTAAACAATGCAACAGGAAAAGAACTGATGGCACTTTTATTCAAAACCTAATTTGCTAGGAATCTCCAGCTATGTGACATGCCAGATGCATTTTAAAAAAAAAGGAACAATATAAAAAAGTATATTTCCATGTACAGTAATGCAGCAGCCAATCTTCAGATGCCACCCTCTCTCAGCTTCAAAACAGTTGAACATTTATGAAACAATCAAATACTGCATTTTTTGACCATCCAAACGCACACTGATGTAATTATACATCTGGAAGTACTAGCAATTCAGCACCGTGTTCTTGTTACTTTATTTCTCTTAATAAAATTATCTCCCAAATTTGAGTTAGGGGGAAAAAACCTTCCATGAAAAAAATACAAATCTGTTCATATCCTATCTTTAAAGTTATACAAAATACGGACTTGAAACATAGATCTTGATCCAGTTTTACCAAGAAAGTATCATTACATTCAGTGCTTGGTTAACTGGATGAAACAACTTTTTTTTAAACAAAAAAAGCTCTTAAGCAGGCTAGTATGACCCTGCATGGAAAAAAACAGGCCTTCTTCACACATAACCTGTCACAGCACCTACGGCACTATGAATAGCTTCACCGTAGTACTATTTCATCTCATCTCAAAAAGAAAGCAAAAAAAAAAAAAAGTCTAGTAGTAGAAACACATCCTGTGTGGGAAGAAAAGATACCTGGAAATACCTATATAAAAGTGTACATTTTAGAAGTAAATAATACAATTGAGAAAAACCAAAGCAAGTGACTTCTTTCAGCAAAGCTGCTAATTCCCCCTTCTTTACTGCAAAGTCACCTGCAGCCCCAGATTTCCTAGTGGACCAATCTATGCAGGCACACCCAATCTAGGCACCATCACACATACAGCAGTGCCCTTTTAATTTAATATTTTTACAATTAGAAAACACCTTAAAACCAGCTGCTTTGAAGAAAACTGTGTGATACTTTCAAAAGCAAAATCCGAGACAAAAACTTGGGAAAGACTGGTTAGACCCTCCAGGGAGCAAGGAAGGCGATTACAACACAGCCAACCTAACACATGAAGGAATGCTCTATTAGTGGAACAGGTCTTTGCAGATCCAAATCACCAGTCTTTAAAATGTCTCTAGTGATTGCCTTTTAGAATAGTTATTCCTTAGACTGTATCATCATAGAACAGAGGCAAAAGCCTTCACCCTCTTAAGCAAACTACAAGGCCTTGTCCCAAAATACATCTGTCACTGAAGCCCTCAGAAAAGCAGAAGTCTCAGAAAAGTTACTGGAAGCTTCTAGTTATGACTTTGTTTCTGCACACCAGGTAGAACAGGTTATCTTGTCTTTCCCAGTATTCGAGACCCTTTAGAGAGCTTATCCTAGCCTCTCGCTGGTCAGCGTGGGTCCCTGTTGCCATCCAGCCGTGTTTAGATGGTTATAGCTGGACTCCTCTGGGCAAATACCCACACAGAGCAAACAGTATTTTCAGTGGCTTGCCAAATTCCTCATTGAAATGGATAACTCAAGCATGTGATTTAATTTCTGGGGCCCTACAGGAGACATTTGCTTTAAAAGAGCAAGCTATCCAGTCACTGAAAACTGAAAGAGCATTATATTAAGGTGGAATCAAATGTTCTTGCCATTACTGCACACAGACTGTTCCTACAAATGTAAGGGGACCTCAGTCACCTCTAGATTTGAAAATGTAACAAGGCCATGCACAGACAGGCTCTCCCTGAATGCTGCCAATTATTCTGTAAAATGCTTTCTGAATGTATGTTAGCAAATTTTTTTGAGCATGCACTTTCATAGCAGATAAAACCAGAAGTGTAATCTTAAAAAAGCATCAGCTATTTCTGTTGTCAGTGTGCTGGCTTTGGCTGGGATAGAGTTAATTTTCTTCATAGCAGCTAGTATGAGGCTATGTTTTGGATTCGTGCTGAAAGCAGTGTTGATAACACAGGGATGTTTAGTTATGGGTAAGGCCACGCTGGAGCAGGTATATCTCTAAAGGCATTGTGGCCCATGGAGAAGGTCACGCTGGAACAGGCGCACCTCAGAGTGACTGTGGCTGTGGATAATTCTGTGCCGCAGCAGGTATACCCCTGGAGACACCGTGGGTCATAGATAAGGCTCCACTTGGAGCAGGTACACCCTGAAGGGACTGCAGCCGGTGGATAAGTCCAATCCGGAACAGGGGCAAGCGGAGGAGTTCACTGCAATGTTAAACCCAGTGGTCCGGTTCGAAGGGACCAGGGGTGGAGATTGTAATGGAAATACCTTTAAATTGTTATAACCCAGGATTTGAGTTGCATGTTGTAGGAATTACTACAGCAGGAACCACCCAAACCAATGGAGGCCAAGCCTTACAAGAAGCAGTGCAAGTGCAGCAGTGATCCGACCTGAGCTGGCTTTGGTGCCCAATAACTCCACAGAGCACACCACCTCTCCTGTCCTGAGTGACCACCATAACAGACGGAGCCCAAAGTCATGGACTAAATCAACTCTACAGACATTTTATAGGGATGGCACACAGACTAAGGGAATGATACCTGTGTGTATGTATCAAGAGACAGGAAAGGTGGTGGTGATTAATTGGGATGTACTGGATAGTGTGGGACCTGAGCATGGCATAAATGGTATGGAACAAGGGGTGGAGAATGTGCTGGTTTTGGCTGGGATAGAGTCAATTTTCTTCACAGTAGCTAGTATGAGGCAATGTTTTGGATTTGTGCTGGAAACAGTGTTGACAACCCAGAGATGTTTTAGTTATTGCTAAGCAGTGCTTACACAAAGCCAAGGGCTTTTCTGCTCCTCACCCCACACCACCAGCAAGCAGGCTGGGGGGGGCACAAGGAGTTGGGAGGGGACACAGCCGGGACAGCTGACCCCAACTGGCCAAAGGGATGTTCCAGACCATATGACGTCATGCTCAGCATATAAAGCTGGGAGAGGAAGGAAGGGGGGATGTTTGGAGTGATGGCATTTGTCTTCCCAAGTAACCGTGATGAAGCCCTGCTTTCCTGGAGATGGCTGAACACCTGCCTGCCAGTGAGAAGTGGTGAATGAATTCCTTGTTTTGCTTTGCTTGCGCATGCAGGTTTTGCTTTACTTTTTAAACTGTCTTTATATCAACCCACGAATTTTCTCACTTTTACCCTTCTGATTCTCTCCCCAGGGGGGAGTGAGCGAGTGGCTGTGTGGGGCTTAGTTGCCAGCTGGGGTTAAACCACGACAGTCAGATTTATCAGAAGGCCTCCATTAACACTTACACAACTTTTTATCATTTCATAACGCATACCAAATACTGGTTTCAATCTAACTAATGTATTATCCAAGGTAGAAGAGGCAACACACAGGTCAAGAACTAATAAAGACAAAAGCAGAAACTATCTACTTTGCAATCCAATAAAAAGATATATTAACTAATAATACCAACTTTAGGTTGTGTCTCAATTACATTATTATTTATAATTGTATTATATATAATTATATTATTACTCATTTATAATTAAAAGATGCCCTGAAGTATTTTAATAAAATCATGACCTGGCCTCCTAACATATTTAAGAATTGTTTTTAACATACATTTTAGAAAGTAATAGCACAAGGTACAATAAGTGGAATGTTTTTCTTCCTCTTTATCTTCTACTCCCATGGCACAAATTCAAAAAAGGCTTAGCTTTTTGATGGAACATAAAGCTGGATGTACAGCACCTGTCCTAGCTGATGCTTCCAAAGCAATCTGAGATCAGCTACCTGGACATAAACATCAGCTCCTGTAAAAGCTTCATTTACGTCAATATACTGCTTTTGGAACCACAGATGAAAAGAAGTTATGCAAGTTCAAAGTAGGGCATGACACATTGCTCAGGAACCTGTCAGTCACGTCACCTTAACTGGAAAAAATTAGACGTACAGTAGCATTGAGAATCTAATCAAGACTTCGATAATGCTACTGATTTCACTCTCACTCACAGCTGCTTTACAAATATAAAGCTTCAAGGATACAAACTACTGAAAGGGAAAGAAGTTTCACATTTTTTCTCTGCATGCAAAGATTCCTAACCCTGAAAGCAGAAAACTCCACTCCATTAGTACTACTCAGGCATTGTGTTTCGGGTCCTCTTCTCTGTGGAAGAAAGTGCCTCTCTGTAGCCTATTTCCATTAGGATTAATTACCATCCCAGGCAAACAGATAACATGGTGCTTCCCCATAAGACCACAAGGCTCTAAATAGCTACTACAGAATTGACTCAAGTTACTCACTTCACTTATACTGTGTCCCAGCAGAACTAGAAGCCCTAGGGCCAGAACCACCAGCAGACACAGGAGAGGGCTGCCATCAGTTCAAACACCACCTTCATTTGAAACTTTATCACTATAACCACGATACAGGTATAGAAACTTTTTTGTTGTTGTTGAATGCACGCTGTTCATCCAAATCCCAGTTTTCCCAGAAGATAACTGGACAGTATCATGATGATTCTTTTAGGCATTAGTATCACACAACATATGAATGACATCACCTGTCAGCCCAGCCAACAGCGTAAAAGGAATCAAGACACTAGACTAGCAGATACAGGCAGTGTTTCACTTCAACTCTGGCTGCTCCTTCTCTTCTTGGCACATAGCCCTCATTTCCTTTCTCCATGGCACCTTTACACATCATTAAGAGGTTCTCCCCTTCATCTCTCCTTACTCCCAGATTGTTCCTCTTTAAAAAATGTGACGCAAAATTTGAAACGAGTCTCAGTGTCTGTGATACGCAGCAGAGCGTAGGCACTTGAAGTTCACCTGTCAACAACTAAATACAATAGGAAAAGATTGCCAAGACTTTGTACCTGTATATTGGCCTTGCATCTGCAGAGGAACCCTTTTGTGTTGATACTAGCTGCTGTCCTGTGCCTACCCAGTGTGGTAACTTAGAGCCACCAGATCTTTGCTTGCATCAATCCTGTAGTGACTAGCCTAAACAGTTTTACTTAAGAGAGCACACCAGCAGGTGAGATGAAGGAGAGAGGTACAGAGAGCTCACACCTTCTCTTCGTGTCCTGCAGAGGCATGGAGACTCCACGTAGCCCCTCTCTGCCTAGTTCCCTACAAAGTTCTACCCTAGGATTTGCAGTTTTCTGGCCTGTATCTCAACTGAACAGTGGGGAAGCCAAGGTGCAGAAGGGGTGGCAGAAGGCAGGTGCTAGTGTGCTCCTAGGTCTCACTCTGATTTGGGTTTAGGACACATCCAGGGTGTCGATCCAGTCTCAAAATTGTGCTCAGCACTTCCATTTAGTCAAAGCCCTGCAAAGTCAAGCAACCCACCCTCTATGGATGGGTGAAATTTATTCACACTGTCCTTCTCATCGTGTTCACTACTTTGTGAAGAATTTTCTGAAATCAGTGAGGGGTTATTCCATAAACGTCTAATATTTATCTTCTCTTGTTAGCCATTCTCCCAGCATCAACAACAGCATAGTAATTAAATATTCCAATTGCATTCAAACCTGATCAAAAGCAACACAAAACTTTTTAAAGCAAAACAAGAATGAAGCAATGAGAAATTACAGTACCTCAGTTTTTAAGGAGAGTCCACTGTTAAAGAATATAGCTGAAACAGCAATGTAAGTTATGGTAATTTCTGGTTTCAAGGGTCCTAAAAAATACAGACATAGAGAACAAAGTGAAATACAATCAAAGAGATAATGAAATGCATATATTACATCAAAGTAAATGAGAATACTTAGAAAAATACCTGGAGACAATTGAATCATTAAAGCCTCTAATAAAAAGAATAGGGTTTCTATTAAGTTACAGAAAGCATGCTATTCATTCTTAAATAAAAGCAAACCAGTGAGTGGAGAGTGAGGTATGATGTCATACAAATTTGGCAGCCGTGATTACAGGCCACAGGGAACCAACAGGTAAATTCTGGAAATGTGAAAACAGGGATTTTTTCACAGTTCTGTCATCAGAGTATCCCTACGGTGCCAGCAAACTCAAACTGTACACTCAAATAAAAATATTAGCTGCTCCCCCCACAGGTCCATTGATATCATCCACACATCTACCTCTCACTTCTTCCTCCACAACACACACACCTATCTGGCTGCCTGCACAGAGAAAACAAAATCCTACCTTGCAATGATTTCCTTGGGGCAATACAATTCTGCATTATTCCCCCACAACAGGGCTATGGCAAAATGGTTCATTCCAGCCCCACAGTAACACATTGCAGACACACTGCTGCAGTGAGATCAGCAAGGGCAGATGCCTGCACCTCCAAGGATTCCACTATATTAAAGGCTTACATTTGTATATATTTATACAGTTTTTTCAGGAAGATTAAAATAAAATACTTTTTACACTCCTATAAAAATGATGAATTCTCTTAATACACTTTGCCTTCAGAGGCCACCAAGCACAAAACGTATATACTCATTTTTTCACAAGCATTCAACCAGTTATTATATCAGAAAGAAAATATTAGCAGTCTACTTAGGACCAAAGTAATATCCTAACTCTGCAAGTGACAGTAAGTTGTCACGAGCAAAACTGCAGCAGCAAACAAGCAAGCCTTTACTCGACACTCCAGAAGAGAAGGTCCTTTCTGCTCTCTCAGATGAATGATACATTGATGGTCACACCGGAGCAAAGTCAATGATCCTTAAATTAGAGGGATTTGATCATACACTGAGTCTAATCAAATTTGCATCTCAAGTCATTTAAACCCAAATCCTACTCTCAGAGAGGACTCAGATGATGAGACACTGAAACCATGTGTGTTAAATACAAAAAATAAACCAAACAACCTATATGAAGTATAAGGTAAAAATAAGCCAGGAAATGCAAGAGTTAAAATTGCAACAAAGCACATGGCTAGTTGCAAAATTATGGCATGTTAACTGAATAGCCGGGGAGAGGGGGGGGGAACAACAAAAAACAACAAACAGAAAAATTACATAAATATATATAGTTATAGAGAAAACTATATTTTATATATATAATTATATAATTTTTCTAATCTTTCAGAAGATTAGAGCATATATGTACATGCATATACACACTGGGCAGACAGGCAGTGCATTAGTCTGGCTAAGGTAGGGGTTCTTCCAGGACTCAGTTTTTCTGTTTTAGGGTTTTTCACTGGGCTGCCTGAACTCCTTTACACAGGAGAAACCTCTACCACTAGAGCAACCACACGTTCACTGGAGCACAGGGAACTCTGGTCAGAACAGATCCCCTTCATCTCTTGTGCAAAAGACTGGTCAGGAAACCTCTTTTCACAAAGGAACTAAATAGGCTCATTCATCAACTAGGAAAACACACAAAAAGGGCTTGGCTTATGCCCTGAAGGTGGCAACAGCACAAATCTTTGTTATTTGTGGCACAATGTTCCACTGGTATGGACGCTGGACCATCCACCCTATTCAGTAAGGCCCTGCAAATTACAGTGCATGTTTTTTTCAGCTGGAAGATGACAAACTAAGGTTTTATCATATGCTGATATTTCCCACCACCCACCTCTTTTTTTTTCTGGTTTTAAAATGAGCACTGAGATCACATAGCTTCAGAAGAAGGATACCACTTTGGGGAACACATGCTCACGAGTTTCAATCAATGCTTACAACATTTTTCAAGCAAGTTGTCCCAGGAACAATACCATGTCAAAGCTTGACATCTCTTTGCAGTAGGATAATTAAATGAAGTGCTCCATCATAGTGCTTCCATGCAGGAAGTAAGCTGAGGAAAAATTATCTCATATTCTACTTAAAAGGATCTCCCACGTTGCTGCTAACAATCACAACAATCAAACCAGAAAGGGACAAACCACCTGATACTATCAATTTGAAGTTGTGTCTAAGGTCTGCTGAAGACACAGCATGGATCCTTCAAGAAGCTCTAAGTGGGCCCTATTCACCTATGCAAAACAGCACGCAGATGTTAGAAGGGATCCTTGCACAGCAGGAATTTGCCTACCCTGAACTCCATGAAGTACGGGAGCCTTAGCTGCCACAGCAAGTGTTCAGAGCCATATTTTTTAAATCGCTTTCTTTTTCCCCAGAACCTAAGGGAGGGGGAAAAAGGTTGGCTCCTCAGTGAGAGGCTGTCTATCCTCAAATTTCAGCTCTGTTAAGAAAAAAAAAAACAACAAAGAAAAACAAAACTATGCAAAAAGCATAAGTAGATTATTCCTCCCCTCCCATAACATGGAATTGCTAAAGGAATTCTGTTCAAGTGTTGTACATCCCTTTTCTTAAATCTTCAGAGATCAATTAGGAAAAAAAAAAGAGATATAAAATTTAGTTTGTTCTTGAAAATTGTGAACATTTAGAACTGCAGTTACAATAGAAATTAACCAGAAGATACTGCCAGCATTTACACTTAAAGATACACCACTGTTTATTTTAAAATAACACTGGCTATTTCCATCAGCTCTTGTTACAAGAAACATACAAGACCTCACTGCTTAGAAAAGGGCAGACCTTTCTTCCAATTTGTTTACTCTGAGCGTTTGACACCATTTTGCACAAAAACATTTTCACCGTTTTCCCTCGTCTTTCATGAGGAAGTATGAGGGAACAAAAACCTAATCTTTAAAATACAGGTGTGTTACTATAAAGTAAAAAACCCACCTGGCTGAAATACAGCACCTGAAATTTCAACACAGTACGCATTAAGCTACACCTCTCGAGAAGCTCACAGATGGCAGACACTCGTACACTGAACCGCAGTGACTTTATGCCCACCTCGGAGTTCCTGAAGTTATTACTTAGTTTAACAGGAGTACATTCAAAGTCAGCTGCTACCCGGTCTTCATTACTACTAACCCAAAAAGAGCAGGACATCGCTCAAGCAACTGGTACGGTGCCCAGCGAAGATACACGCAGGAACACACCTTGAAAAATACGTCGTGGGTACCTGAGAAGCAGGGACTGATCAAGGAGCAGAGAAGGGGACCTGCTGGAGGTGCAGGGACCACAGGAGGGGCCGGCGGCTTCGGCTGTGCCCTACGCCCGGCAGCTTGCCCTCCTGCAGCCCCGGGGCAACCCGACTTTCAAAACTTTCTGAGCGGACGCCCTGACGGCCGAGGAGCACCCCAGCAAGTCTCAGCGTCCCCGGCAGCGAAGGGACCGGCACCCTCCGCCCGGGGGCCCCGCAGAAAGGCCCGCAGACTCCCTCCCCTGCCTCCGCAGCCCAGCAGCGAGGCGGCCCGCTCCCCTCCCCGCCGCCGGCAGCGCCGGGCCCGGCCCGCAGCACCCAAAGGCGCCGTGGGGCGGGCGCCGCCGGGGGGTGGCAAAGTACCCGC